CCGCGCTCGCGCGCGCGCCCGCCGGGACACGGGCGTCCGGCCGGGGGCGTTGTGGGGCCCACCGCGCGGCTGTGGCCTGGACCACCCCGGTGTTGCGCTGGGGACGCGCCTGGGGGCGGACCAGGGGCTGGCCGGGGGCCCGGAGACGCCGGGAAGGGCCGATCCCGATCCCGGAGCCGCGCCGGAATGTTGGAACTGGGAGGGGGCAGCGGAAGGAGGACGCTCCCGCGCGCCCTGGGCCACTGCATTCCCGGAGTCCGCCTGGGACCCTCCCGACCCAACCCCCCTGCAGCCGGAACCCCTCCCTCACGCCCAGCTCGCGGCCGCCGGGGACGCCAGGGCTGCAGAGACGGAGACCCCTCCTCCCCGTCGCAGCCCGCTGCAGCCCGCGCTTTCCAGGGATGATTCACAGTTTGAGATAGGGCTGCCTGCTAAGGCCCTTCTGAGCATTAGGACAACTCTGGGGGATGCGCAAAGGGGCTGTGGGGAATCCCGGCCACGAGTGGCTGATCGGGAAGCTCATTCCTCGCTTCAGCGGAGGGTACGGCTAGATGTGCATACTGTGCCGGGGAGAGAGGGGAAGGGTATTTGAAGTCAGGTAACAGTGAGGGGCGAGCAGGAATCAGGGCCGCCGGACCCCCAGACAGGGCCACTTGCCACTACCCTATGCTGAACATAGTCTGGTGGCTCAAAGGGGTCTTCCTGCACCCATCCCTAATCTTCCAGGCTCTGGAGCCTGGGAGAAGGCATGTCCAGGATCCCTGAGCAGACCCGATTCCCACCAGCCCTCTGCATCATCTGCTCCACACCGAAGTAGGACTTTCCCACAGAAGAGAAGGCAAAGAAAAGGTTCCATCTACCAGAGCGGCGCCTGACGACACAACCCGTTTGCCTCAGATCCTGTTTGAAGGCCAAGCAGAAATGAAATCAGTTCCCCTGAAGAAAGTGGCCTGGCAGAACAAATGGGTAGAAAGTGGATGGATTGAGGAGAACCTGGATCTCTTAGCTGTGTTGTTCGCACTTCAGGGCCTGGGCACCTCCTGTTTCCTATAGACTGCAAATCATCACTCCTGACTAGTGCAGTTACTGGGATCCTCCATTTGTCAAATACCTGGATTCGACTTTAACAGGAGATGCACCAAAGTGAAGCAGTGAAGTTCTTTGTGAACAGTGAGTGTTCCCCCAAATGACAGATACATGCACGGCCACCCAGGTATCTTATGTGCAGCCACCCCCTTCAGGTTTTCCCTGGACTCATGGTTAGCAGGAATCAGGCACACTCAATTTCAGAAGCACCAGCCAGCAGCTTGGCCTGGACCAAGGCTAGCCCAGGTAGTTTGGGTTGAGGTGGTCACGCCCACACCCTCTGCTGGAGCTCCTAGCCCTGTGACTGGCTGGAGATGCTGCTGTGGAGTGCTGGGAATCTGTGCTCACAATTCTGCCTAGGGCCAGTGGCCCTGCGGCAGATAAAATGCAGAGCCTAGAGATGACTGTGTACAGCATCAGATCATTCCCTGCTGCCTACTCCATTTCCCTCCCCCAAACTGACACCTCCCTGTCACCTGTCTGCCCTTCACAGCTTAGAATATGCCCTCACTCTACATTTCACTCAGCCCCAGGGTTAGAGCCAGCCTCTGGGGTAAATCCTGCTTCATCAGTTCCTGACCAGGTGATCTCAGGCATGCTTAACCTTTCTATGCCTCAGTTTCTTCATCCAGGAAACAGATGAAGCTGTCTACGTCGTTGGGTGCATGTTTGGGATCGTTCAGGCATTTAGCAAACTTACTGAGCACCTACTAGGCACTTCCAGCACTCAGGCACATCCATGCACACAACCAGCTTGTGGGGGTAGGGTGCAGGCAAGCACTTGGTGCAATCAGTAACGTGGCTGCTATGTTGGATCCGTGTTGCAGAAGTGGAGCAGTGTCAAGGCTCCATCGTGACTGTGATATCTGAGAGAGTCAGTCAAGCTCCAGCAGGGGTGAGAACAGGGTCCCCCGTGGAGGCCACCGTCACCACGGTGAGCTAAAGGAGTGGGGTGTCAGAGAGTGAGCAGGTAGGTGCATAGGCCTGGAAGCCATGGAAATGTCTTTTTTTTTTTTTTTCTGCACCATACAGGACTGTGTCGGGGACCACAGCGTGAAGCACCATGGTATGAACCCTGCACATAGACTCTGCTCAAGGACCATTGGCCATCTTGCATCAGTGTGTATGTTTATTCCATTTATGTTACTGTTGCTGATTGATTGAAATACTTTCCATCTGCCACTAGTTCTTCCATCCTTGTGGTGGATGGAAAATCCTGGTTTCTGGAAACTTGAAGGGAAATCAGATAATAAATAAATGCCTCTGTGATATAACACTATTGGTGATAGATGCCATGAAAATAAAAATAAAATAAAATGAAACAAAATAAAATAAAACCCAGGTAAGGAGGAGCCTTCCAGGGCAGTCTAGAAGGACCTCCATGAGGTGACATTTGAACAGAGAGAGTGTGGAAGTTTCAACAGGTGCTCTGAACAAGCAGAACAGAGGTGTGTGAGGAAGAGCATTACAGCAGAGAGAACTGCATGCAAAGGCTGTGAAGCAGGAGTTTTTTTCCCTCTGTGCACGCATGGTGAGAGAACAAGGAGCTGGAACGGAGTGACTGGATTTTACCTTCAGAAGTTTTCAGGAAGGGGCATGGCCTGATGGGACTTTCCTACTGTGATCACTGTATGCAACACGTTGGAGGACACAGAGAGCAGGGGCTGAGTTAGAAGCCGCAGGGGAAAGAGGCAGTAGATAGTTGATCTGGCAAGCTGTGGCTGGGATCCCCCTGATGTGCTGTGGATGTTAGAGGAATGAGGAACGGTGTGGTTTGGGCCTGAATTGGGCAACTGAAGGGTTTGTCCAGGAAACAGTGAAGCAGGTTTCTGGAAAGGGCTTGGGAGGCAGTTGTGGAATTTTGGACTTGCTGGGTCTGAAATGCCCAAGAGACAAGTAGTGATGACCCTTGGGGGAGAACATGGAGGCTGGAGGTGGAAATGTGGAATCACAACAGCAGTGACCCTGGGATGGACAAGTATGGGTGGGTGCAGATGCTGCCTCTGGGAAGAGCAGGCAGAACTGGGCCAGGGCAGCTTCCAGATCAGGAAGAGAGTGGGGAGATGCAGAGGGGGAGGGGGAGAGGGAGGGAGAGGAAGGGAGGGGAAGAGGGGGGGGGAGGGAGGAGGAGAGGGAGGAAGAGGGAGGAGTAGGAGGAGAGGTGGAGGGGAGCAGGAAAGGGAGGAAGGGAGGAGTAGGAAAGGGAGGAGGAGGGGGAGGAGGAAAGGGAGGGGGAGGAGATGGAGGAGGAGAGGGGAAGGAGGAGAGGGGGAGGGGGAGGAGGGAGGGGAAGGAGGAGAGGGAGGAGGGAGAGAAGGAAAGGGAGGAGGGAGAGAAGGAAGAAGGGAGGGGAAGGAGGAGAGGGAGGAGGGAGAGAAGGAAAGGGAGAAGGGGAGGAAGAGG